GGTCGGCGATGGGGTGGGATATAGCTGGATGGGTTGGTTGGTGGTCGGCGATTGGTAGAGGTCGATGGAAGACAGGGCCGTTGTAGGGTACGTGATATTGGTTTGGTTGACGATTAGTGTTTCTATTTCTGGCTTCTTGCCAGTGGTTGTTGTAGTTGGGGAGCATAATGAAAATAACTTGGGGTTAGAAGGGAATGTACAGCGGATGTAACAGGAGGAAACTGTATATGCTAGCGTGAAAATGTTGGGATCAAATTATGCAAATAAGTCAAACTGGGTTTGGGGATATATAAAGCAAGATGAAAAATGCAAAACAATATATATTTAGGTGATAAATAACGCTAAGTAAAGTAAAACAAAAACTTACGCAATTGACACTACAGTTTGGCCTAGCGGTGTTCCTCTTAGGATTTTTATCCCCAGTAATTAGTTTAAAGACTTACTCGATGCTTGAAGCTGGTGTATCCAAAACAAATAAATGCTGTTTGCTGTTTCTGGAGACCAATGAAGATTATCAACTGGTTCGAATTCTTCTTCGTAGGGTGGTAAGATTGTTGCACTGTTGATACTGGACTCCATCATCATGTTGTTGAGGGGGCTGAGGTTCTGTTGTGATTTCTTCGAGATTTTATTTGAAATGTGTATACATGTGAAGAGGATCTTGGAGTTTGGGAAGGTTTTGTTGGGATCATGGTCGTATGATTCCAGGATTGACTGTATGTGATGGATTTCGGCACCGGGGTAAGAATGTATTTCAGTGTCTGGAAGCAGGTAGCTTCCATAATGATTTGTCCTTGGTTTGGTGATAATAGGGTTTGGTAGCGGATATAATGGTCGTCGACGGTGTGATTGGTGCTGGTTTGGTAGTTGTTAAAATTGTACCATTGGGAACGGACTGGTACAAACAACTTACAGATACTACAAACATTGAATATTAAATGAACTTATGAACAAGTCAAATCAAAAAATTCCATTTATTATTGAAAACATCAAGTTCCATGTGCAATGTATAGTGACTCTGAATATGGCTCACTACCAGTCAGATATAATCGGGCGCCCAGGGATTTTATTCGAGATAAACCACACCTTGGTTGGATTCTTATGGATTTTAGGCAAAGTGTACAAATGTCTCTCACGACAATCAGGTTTGGCAGACAGATAGTCATATTGTTTCTGTTTGAGATAACTAGTTTTGAATAAATCGGCAAGAATATTGTTAATCACGTTAGCAGTTTCTTTGAAAATTGGTTTCGGTAAAATGGCAGGATTATTCAGTTGATTCTCTGCTTCTGAAACGTAATCTTTCTTATTCAGAATGACACAACACATGAACCTTTGTCACTCTTTTTAATAACAATGCTATCGTCTTTCTTAAGAAAGTTTAACGCTTCACGTTCTACTCGTGTGAGATTAGGCTTTTCGTGTGTTATGGAAAGGTTCTCTGTTTGGCTATTCATACTCGCAAATGCTTTCAATATTTCAGGATGGATGGCGGCCTGAGGGGGTGTCCACGTGGATTTAGGAATAAACATTGTTCTAGCACCACGTGGGGGTGGTTTCGAAAAAAATATGTGCAGCTAAGATTTCGTTGAAATCGTTCAATGGATGGTCGGAGATAATTCAAGTTAGCTATGTTTGGTGTATGAATCCACGGTCTAAGATTGAATGCTGAAGGGGTGTGAGAATTTTGCGGCTCAAGTTAACTACAGTTTGGCCTAGCGGTGGCCTCTCAGTATTTTTATCCCCAGTAATTAGTTTAAAGACTTACTCGATGCTTGAAGCTGGTGTATCCAAAACAATTAGATGCTGTTTCTGGAGACCAATGAAGATTATCAACTGTTTCGAATTCTTCTTCGTAGGGTGGTAAGATTGTTGCGCTGTTGATACTGGACTCCATCATCATGTTGTTGAGAGTGCTGAGGTTCTGTTGGC